GATTATCTCACGTGAGAAGAATAATCGATTCTGATTCTGGATCGAATTCCAATTTTCTTAAATCTTAAAAGTCTTAAGTCTCATTGTAGACGCCGCTTTAGCCGCGTCCTAGCGTTTCCATACAACAAGATCAGATTTCATTGCCTCAAATTTCCCGTTGCGCGATCCGTAACAGCCTCTTTCACCGTGATCTCTTCTTAATGCGGGACCGCGTCACACCATCTCTCAAGTCGCGCGATCTACCGCGCGCGGCGCGACAATTTGTGTCTCGTCCGTGCACGCGCGCGTCGCCCGGTTCGCCTGTGTGTGCGACTCCACGCCGACGACGACGCGGACTAACGCACGTGTGAGATGAGGTAATAAAAATATTACGAGAACCTCTAATCTTTCCCGTATAATGGTATCCATAATTCCTCGGCGCGCTGTGGAGTCATGATCGGGCCTCTTCCCTCTCGCTCTATCTCATCCTTCCCTCCCAACCCCCGGGACACCGCTATTCATCCTCCCGTAACCGCCTCCACGTGGCCGTCGACCACCGGGTTAAGATGGTTTCCCGATCCTATATACCCTCCGTCTCTTCTCACGCCGTTCCGGTATCATCTATCGGCGCGGCAGGCATAAAGGAAGGCGGCGATAAGTTTTAACGTCGCCGCGCCATCATCCGCTTATCTTTTTCGGACGATCTACCTGACCTCTCCCGCCCCCACCCCCGCCCCAGTCCCACTCTATCCCGCGCCCCGAGAAACCATCCGTCTTTTCTATTTTCACGAGTCCTCCCGCGAGTTAAGGCCCAACCGTTTACGACGAATTGATCCCGCGCCATCAACAGCACATTCCGACTGGCACTTTCGACGACGCGGTTGCGGCGAATCGTCCAATCGACATCGACCCCGCTTTATTAATACGTCGGTTTAATTTTTACGATCGCTCACTGAGAAAACGATCTTCTCTCAATCTCCAATTAAAATTTGCAGTCGTAATAGAATTATAGCGGTATATTTAATTTTGCGGCAATAATTAATTCTGCGACTCAATCCGTAACTCCTCGACTAGAATTTATTAAGTCAAATCAGTTCCCCTTTTAGAGAGCAACAAGATATCGTAATTCAATCGCGAAAAGGCTTTATGAGACAACATTATTAATGCATTCATAAAAGTTTCAGTTTTCCTCGCATTTGCTGGTTGCCCGCATATGAGAATAAGTTTAACGTGAGAGTCGACATCGGTAACAACTGCATTATATAAAACGAAATAATAGTTTCTGCGGAACTCCCTCGCCGTGTATGTACATATAAATGCAATGCCGGCGGTCACAAAAGCTCGTGAAAATTCACGCGAAAGCGTTTGCCAAGAATACCGGCGTGTTGCAAAGAATAAATGTCCGTCGATTAAAAATACGTTCTGAAAAATATTAATTATAAGCGTTTGTTACCGATCTTTGCTTCAGTCGTGCCTCGCGTCTCGTATTACTGTAATAAAAATCATCGGCATTTAAGTATTGTCGTTTCTTCGATAGAGCGAGGAGAACGGACGCTAACTTCTGAGCCATTGCACCATCGGCGGAATAGACGTGGCGCCGCACTGCAATCGCTATTGCATGCGCGGGTCGAGGGCAGTTTCCGCTAAATGAACTCGCGCGCATTCAACTTTTGGTTATTATTTCCTAACTTCCATTCCGCTTCTGAAACCGCGCGATTCTGCGGTTCAACGGCCGCAGTGGTCGTCCCTGTCGAGCGGAAAGGAAACGTCTGATTAAATTGGCGTTGGTACGTGTTCGACGGGCGTTTTGTCGATACACTTAAGACGCTAAGCTCCGAGGAAATTGGTTCATATTTAGATATTGCGTGTCCCGATCGAGTTCGATGTTTCGAATCGCGAATGTATAGGCTAGGCGTATGCCTCTCGCCGCTTCGAGACGTATAAGATGCGGACGAGTAGTGGGCAGGGCGCGGATATCATGTGAAACTTTTATCGGCAACAGATCGCTCGATAGCGCAACCAGATACACGCACACAAATTGCGAACGGTGTAAATATTGGAGAGGGTAAGAAGTTTGAAAATCTCGCGGTTCGGGAATAAGGACAGCGGAACGAAAGAGAGAGGGAGCGATAGAATCCTCAAAGAAAATGGACCTGGAAAAGGTTCTAGAAACGAGAGGAAAAAGTTCACAATACAGTTACACGATGGTCGATGTATTGAATATATAAACGCGGTTGTCGATACTGATTTCGCGAGATCCACCGCGATATCGTATTCATACGTTATGCATGTGTGCGCGACGGAGTCTAAAAATAGGGGACACCACGCTCCGTCACGAAGTCACAGCGACTTCAGAGAGAAAGAGAAAGAGAGAGAGAGAGAGAGAGAGAGAGAGAGGACACGACAACGAGCGGGACGATAAGGAGGCAAAGGAGGATGAAACTTGTACTCGTGGGAATCCGAAATCACGTCCTTAATTTCCATAAAAGAGTGCAAGGACTATACCCGTCCCTCGCCCCTCGCCCGCCTGCTCCTCCAATCGAGAATGCACGTGGCTGGCGCCCCCTCCCCTCCGCCTTACTTATTCGCCCCTTCTTTTTTCGCCTCTCAAAGGAGCTTTGAGCTCGGTAAGCATATCTCTCGGCATCCTCTTACCTACCCCTGCCGCTGTACGCGCGCGCGCGCGCGACGAGCCAGCTACTCAGCACATTCTCGGCAAATCCGCCGTCCCTTAAATTCGTTGCATTCGCTTAGGCAGGCTGACACACGACGCGAGTGCGCTCGAGATGCTGCTGCAGCTGTGCGAGAATGTTTGACCCGAAAAATCGCTCGCGCAGCCGAATCGAAGCAGAGAGAAGGACTATTCGCCAGCGTTCGCGAACGAGGCCACAGCGCGAGGCCGGTAATTCAAGCGTGGAAATTCTCGAAGTACATATACGCTGATCCCGAATGCAAATCAGAAGGAATTCGAAACTTCACACGGCGCTCCGCGCTGCTACGTATACTTATTATTCGGCGCTCATATTTCCCCATAATTTTATTTCAAATTTAATAGAGCCCGTGTCACACGGAAGTCACTCCGTAACCCGAATTGCCGGGCGAATGAATTTCCGCGTAGACAACTATTTAACGTAATTATCAGCACTCGCCTTCAAAAGATCGCGTAGTAAATTATTGGCCGCGGCATTGAGCGAAAATTACGTGCTTATAAGTGACCTCATTAAGCTGTGCATTTTCCAAGTCCTTCTCCGTCCTCCGCGCGACCGTGATTAAATTGCAATAACGCCCCACGGTATTACGGACGCGCGAGGCGTTACGTTAACGGTGAAGAATATTGCGCCTTGACGGGCAATCAGTTTCTCTCGCATATAAATTATTCCGCGCGCAAATTGATAAAATAGGATCCACTTACCTTCCGTCTCGGGAGGGAGAGCGAGAGAGGTGTCGTCCCGCGCGAAAGTTGCTCGCCATTACTGCCGTGGATAATTAATTAAGGATGAAACGTGGTCTCGCAGGCCGAGGCATGAACTTCGGGGGCCGGTGTTCAACCCAGTTTTGTCCCAGATAATTTGTCAGCGTGCTCTCGAATTTTTGGGGATCAGGGAGAGAGAGAGCGTGTGGGGCTTTCCCGACGCTCTCGAGAGCGCGAAACTTTCGCGAGAGCGCCCGTTGGAACTTTACCTTACGCCCTTGACGCACGTCGACGAAGAAATTTGTAATGCCTAACTTTGAGAGGGGGGGGGGGAGAATCGAAACTTTCTCTCCTGAGCGACTACGGTTCGGGAGATTAGCGGGTTATTGGAATTTATTAATTTACGCCGTCGATATCTCTCCGTTAGCGACGTAACGTTGACGTGCGATACCGCGTAAATTATTCTCGACGAGATTATCGCTATATCCGATCGAGCGTAGAATGGCAGGGGAGGATGTGGAGGAACCTACGGAAAAAAAATAAGAAGGAAAGATTAGAATTGGAGTAAACAAAAATACGTCTCCTGGAAAAGAAAAAGAGAAGAGAGAGGAGAGAAAGAGAGAGAGACACAGCGATCGCTGTTGCTGTACAATATAACGTCGCCTTTATTATTACCGTTTGCTTATTAACCACAATTGTTAAACGTTCACTTTTTCATATGATACAACTTTATTCTCTATACACACGCTTTTTTTCTCTCCCCCTAAGAGTTCCTTTTTTCGCCTTCCGCTGCTTAAACGTCTATTTTTAGGTAATGTCTGTTCGTGTACATTGTCTTTTCTTTTTTATTTTACTTTATTTTTTTTATATATACAAAAGCGCCTCGGATTATTCGTCCGTCGGCTAAGCTAACGGAGAGCCCAGAGAGCGCGTTCTCTCTTCCGCGCGATTGATCTACCACATGACTTCATCCTAATCTCTTCCTCTTCCAAACCATTCCTTCTTTATTATCCTACTTCTCTCTATCCCGGAGCTATTACGAAATTGCTCTCCGCCTCTTCCGCCAACGAGATACCGGCTATTTCTTCTTCTGTATCTTCCACCGAGATCCATCACGATCGTCCCGCGCTTCTTCCCGCGCTTCCGCTTCATTTCCCCCATCCCATTTTCCCACCCCCTTCCTCCTCCTCCTTCTTCCCCTTCCCCCTCCCCGGTTTCGTAATGGTTTTCGCTTTACATCGTTCACATCGTATCGCCATTGGCTACGAAGTAATTGACAAAAACCTGTCAAATAACTCGACCGATTTACAGGCTCATCAACGGGATTGATCCATTCAAGCACACACTTTTATTCCCTCTATTTCCCCTTCGTGTGAAAACAGATCGATCGTATAAGATTTTTATCAATGATGGGCCGTTTTAAAAAAGTCTTCTTACCTTAAGAGAGACAACGCCTATCTCCTCTCGCTATAGGAATCATCCATCATCTGAAAGTGCTATTGTCCATTTTACAAAATTATATGTAACTATATGTATACATGTGTGTACATATATATGTATATACATATTTATATATTTATATACATATATATTATATATATATATATATATGTGCACAACGTAATTTATAATAACACGTATTACTTTAAGTTGCGCCCATCCTTGATAACTGTTATAGTCTCCAATGCATAAACTTACAAACAGCATTAAACGAAAATCTGTATTCCCCGGCAAGACACTTAAAGCTCCTTTGATCACCCGCGTTTACGAGAATTACGTTAGTGTGCTGTGGAAACACGCAACTTTGTCCTCGCTACTCCGGAGAATGAAAACAAAATTTCGATCGACGGCGGCGAACTTATCTATACAAATTATACGCGCGCGGCATATAATTTGCGGATAATTATGTACACATAAACTTCTGCGATGAGAGACATAGCGGTTACATTGCACAACTGTTTTGTCCATCTCTCGGGTTATCGCGCGCTACTCATCTCGCGCATCGGCTTACTTATTTCAAAATTTTACTGTCTCTTTTCACACAGCACCACAGCGGGCCACAACGTTTCTTCTCCCGGATAGAAATTAGCTCTCTCCATCAGCAGCCTCCCCCACCCTCTGTCGCGCCGCATGAACCAATTTCGTTCCACGCCTTCAAGGAAAAGTCCCCTCTCGTGGTCCTGCCGCGGAGATGGCCTCAGACTACGTTGTGCGATAGGGAGCCGTCGTCCCGCCACGTGTTGGCTGGAAGGAAAAAGTCATCTTTTCAAATTCTCATCGAGACGATCCCTTCGCGGTGAGGCACAAAGTTTAGGGGCTCATGGAGCCTGGCTAACATCGTGTGTTACCTCTATAATGCATGTCCTGCGCCATCGACGGACACTTGGCGTTTCCCCGCTGCCGGAACAACATAGAAAGTGCATTTAAGTTGCAGCCCCGCAAAGGAATATGGTACATACTGTCGAGATTCATTCCTTTATGATCAATCAAGGTATTTATAGCAAGGCTACCTTCAGCCGGTCTAATAAACGTTATAGACAGTGGCAAGAAATCGATTTGAATATTAAAACAACCGACATCTGTTTATTTAATGTTATACAAAACGCAAAGGAAGAGCTTCTATTTAAATTAAAATTCAATTCAACTTAAAGCTCGTTATAATTCTAAAATTATATTAAAATACAAAGTGATTTATTTTTAAGTAAAAAGTAATCCTGAGAAAAAAAAGAATGCATATTTGCTTCTTTTCCTTTAAGAGTCCTTTAATGTAAACAAGTGATATGCTATTGTTACGAGATTAAATTAATTTCGCAATATGTCAATTATCCTGATTGACACTACATTCTTAGCGAAGTATCGAATGGCATAATCGTAACGTTATATTACCTTAGCAAAATCGATATTCGTCCTCACGGTTCTGTAATGAAGACCCTGCAGCGGTCTGGAATTGTTACCGAGAGGCGCTTTCGGCGCATTGGTGGGGCCCTGCATTAATTTCCTTAGGGCGTACAGCTAATAACAGAAACAATGCACTCTATAGATAGAGGGACGGGAGCCGCTGATTGATCCAACGGTATCGACAAAACTATCCCGGAGCAGCCCTACCGGCGCGGCGTCAGCCGCTACTTTCGATGATTCGATTATTACAGCGAGACACGCGAACTCCATGCGAATCAGAATCGAAATTTGGGACAAGGCGAAGAGAACATAAAAAAAAACACGTCAGGGGAGAAGCTCGACAAGACAAATCGACCGATTTGAAGGGACCGATGTTTACCTCTCGCGCCGTGATGTAAATTGGTTTGTTGAGGATCAGCCAGACCGCCGTTTCCCAACAACCGGGGTGCGTTGTACTGCCCTCGTAAGTCATGTAACCGGTGGTGTCCGGTAGAAGGCTTTTCAGGGAGAGGTAGCGCACGGGTGCGGTGTCCCCTGAAATATTAATTATTAATAAGATTTACACCGTCAAAGCCACACTGTCGCGCCGAGGATAGGGATTTAATTATCTCACGACGGAATTTCATCCCAATTATCTCGCGATGGATAATAACTATAGGGATACACGATTACCGGTTGTCGATTACCAGCGAATTTCGCTCGCTCGGAATTTTCAAGCGATACCAGGCTGGATAAATCGAGCGAGATCCAGTCAGTGATATACTTTTAATACGGGGGATTCTCTCTAGGCGTTAGACGGCCTTAAAAGTTTAATTAGATCCTTAGATAAGAGGTCGTGAAGCAGAAGTGCGTGTATTCCGAGATTAGGGGACGGGAGAGATTGAGAAGCAAGAGATTCTGCAGGAGGTGATTATCGCACATTAAACAACGTTGTACAAAATGCTAAACAAAAAATGCCGATAAACGATACAGGAGCAAACGATACACGTGAGTATTGGATGACGATCGTGATCTGATTGTCGGGATAGTCTCGAGTTCGAGATAGCCGATGTACGTATACCAAGATGAAGGGCTCGCTGCAACAACAGGCGAACCCACAACGTATAGTCGAATATGTGATATCGGTAGAAATGGATGGGAAAGGTATTTTCCCATCACTTTTTAACGTTAAAATTCATTTTCTCCGTTTTTCACGAACTTCGAGTTAGCCCGGCCGCCGCTGCTGCTGCTTCAGTTGTAACACAGAAGCGTGTAGCTCAACCGTCATTTGATGAATTATTTCACGGATTGTTCCGTTTTTACACGCACTTTTTCTACCCTTTGATATTCAACCCCTGTGTACCCCGCTCGCGAGAGACTCGGCAAACGAGATACGTTCTCGCAGCTGCTGCACGCGGCGTGGCGCGCGGCGTTCCTATAAATTCAACGATTATCCGGGGCGCGCAGCGAGCCCCGTACTTTTACCGATAACAGGCGTATGTGGATTACGAGCGGGGGGTGGGGGATCCGTAAAGCGTAAAAGTCTCGAATCTTTCTCGCGCGCCAGCCGCCAAGGGCGCGCGCTTCCCCGATCGGCGAATCGGTGTCGCCGATGCTCAACGACACGATACGACGGAGGCCCGGTTTCGCGGAGCGCTGCACGCGAATGCGAATGGACGAATGCGACCCGAAATTACGCGCGATTCGTTTCGCGACCTCGCTCTTTTGAACTCTTGGCACCCCGACGGGACGAGGTGGGCCCAGGAAAACGAGGATGAGTCTGGAAAAAACGGGGCAGGGGGCGAGAAAAGCCGGCGATGATTGACGCTGCGCAAACATACATAAATCGTGCCCAAGGCACGGCCATGTATGTATATTCGCGTTACATATTCAGGTACAATCTGCATTTCCAATCTCCCGTACGCGTGCACGAAAAAAATGTTAATGCACTAGATATTCCATAATTATACAACTATTATTATATGAAAATTAATATAGATTATCGCTCGTATTTATAAAAAAAAACGGTACATTGATTCAGGTCAATAAACGAGTCAAATTTTGGTACAAGATATTGTATTTTCAATTTTACAATAATTCGCGACGAGACGTTTCAACTTATCTTGGTCCTCTTCAGTTGTCTTAAATTAATACATTATGTATAAATAAATTAATTAATTAAAATTAAAATTACGTTTTTAATTGTAATTTATTTATTTACATATAATGTATTCATTTACAAGACGACTGAAGAGGACCAAGTTAGGTTGAAAGGTCTTGTCGCGAATTATTATAAAATTGAAAATACAATATCTTGTACCAACTTATTGAAAATTTCATTTATTGGCCTGAATCAACGTATTATTATATAGATAAGTTATAATTAATATTAATGTTATTATATGTATATTAATAATTTGAACGAAAATCTCGAAAGAAATTTAACGTTCCTTTCGTGAAAGTGGCTGATCATAAACTCGTATTACTACTGACGATCTCATGAATTCCCTTCTCTCGTTTGAGACTTAAAATTATTATTGGCGAATGCCATCCATTTGTCATCGAAATAATGGCAGTGCACTTAAGCGATAACGCTCTCGCAGTAATAATGCACGCGTTTAATTCTACACATTTGGAGAGTTATAATTTCGAACGTCGTCGGTCATAAGTGTATCATATAACCTGGTAAACAGTAGAATTACAAGAACAAACAACGTGCAACTCGCTTGTAAGCCGTCACTGCGCAAATATCTGCGTCTCGTGCAGAATAGTTGGTATATACGTAATGGCATTATGCACTATCCACAATAACTTTCTATCGACAATAGAGACTGCCATTCGCAATTCAATTTATTACGTGTAAATAATAAATCGTAAATAATAATTATTCTTTTCTCTGCTAACTGCACTGAGAGGAAAAAATCGTTAACTATAATTTATAGTGATTTTCAGTGTTAACTATATATTATTTTGATAAAACTACAAACGTAATCATTATTGCTAGCGTTACAGCAGTAACAACTATAAAAATGGAGTTCTAGCCATATAATTATTTTCATATAATTATAGTATAATTATTTTCATATAATTATAGTATCATATAATTATAGTAATATACAATATTATAGATTACAAATACCAATAACTTTGTTGTCATGTAAATACTTGCAAATCGTTATTTTCGAGTAAAATGAAAATATTTTTAGTTAGCGTCGCGGAAGCAACGAAATGTAATCAAAAGAGTTGTGAATATACAAGATCTTTTAATAATATTTTGTAAAATACTGAGTTAAAAAAATAGCGCGCGCGCGCGCGCGAGAAAAACTCGCCGAGGCGGCGAGATTAATAAAACGAGAATATTCACATATATAATTACGATTTAATTACGCATTTATACGGGACACTATACCAGATTTGGGGCGGACGGGGCGTATATCGCGCGAAATGAATTTCGGAGACCCGTCAGAACCGTCCGAGATATGTGCCGACGGAATTTACTCTTGAAGAGAGCGAGCGATGGGTTTCGAGTGTATATATGTATACGGTAGGATGCGCGCCGTCCGTAACCGCCAAACGTCCAGAAGTGATTTGTATCTTTCCTACGTAACGCTCGCGCGGGGCGAAATCCAGCGTAAAAGGTCATCATTTCAGAATGTGCGGTGAAAATAAATCTTTCGCTCGGAACAGTGCGCGCGCTCGCGCGCCGCGCCGGGGATCGTATTTATCGGGAGGATCCCTGGGAGGATACGTTGCCGCGCGATTTCACCGTGCGAATTTCACCTTCGATTCGCGAAGCGTGTCTCCTTCTCCCACCTCGCGTCCCGGCCGTCTCTTACATATATCGGCCGGCGAAAATTGATCTTGCGCGCACGGTCTCGACCGTTCAATTAGGGGCTCTTTAACGGTTTCTTTCGAGGGGAAAAAAAAAACTGGGCACGGTCGACAGCGTGATATCTCTCACTCGTGTGTATACATTTCGGATGTACATAAGATTACCAGAATCTCGTTCGCGAGATGAAAATCCGGCCTGAACCGTCTGTACACACGTCCGCGCGCCCGCGCGCGCGTGCGCCCAGTTTATCTACAAATAAAGGGATACATATAATCCACGATAGCACGGCGACGGTCCTACGTATAGCTGGCGTCTAAACACGGACTCTGTATGTGTGTGTGTGTGTGTATATATTGCGTCTCTTCTCGCATCGGGTCGCCGCCGTGACGCCGCCCGTCGCCATCGTCGTCATTGCAAACCCTCGCTCACAAACGGACACACAATCCGTCCTTTACTTGTATTGCACGGAATACAGCTAAATTTGCACAAACCGCACGGATGTATATATAGGTATTATGCGCATTATGTCAAAGCCATCCACGCGTTTTGCTTCATTAATTTAATAAAAATAATAATAATAATATAATAACTTTATTTTTATTTATGTCATTTAAATGAAGAAGTAGTATAAGGTCTTTTCGTTGTGTTCGATTGTAAAATTAATAATACAATGTACAATTAATGTGTTATAAAAAACCTACAATAGACATATTTATTGGATGTATTTGTTTTGTAATCGGAACAATAAATGACGATATAAAGAATCAAATGCTTGCGCGCGGAACGATCAAAGGGGGGGGGGGGTTGGGAGTATCGCAGCCGCGAGCACGCAATGGTTGACGAATTTGAGAGTTGTATGTGTGCAGCACGTCGCTTCGCGGCACAACGGAAACACTTTAAGTGCATCTAACCGTCCTAACGAGTCCGTTTGAAGTAGTAACGTAACGCAACGACGATTTCGCCTCTATATGTGCGACGAAAACCCCCGTCGTCGGTAGTAACCGCGACCGATGGGGGGGGGGAGGGGGGCGGAGGGAAGCGAGAGCGCTTCATCAAAATGTCGCTCTATATACGGCCGTCTATTTCTCGTATTGAGTCCGTGACATTAAAGATGGGCGAACGCGTTCTCGCAAATGGCAGATCCGGCACAAGGGAGCTGCCGTTTTGCCTCGCACAGAGAACGATCCTCCAACCCCCTTCGTCTTCCCCCCTCCCCCGGTTTCCGACGCGCCCCCTCCGGCTCACCCCTTCTGCCCCCCCCCTCCCCCTCGCCGTTTCCTCTTTCGCGCAGAGATATTCTTAGGAACGCCGACATTCAGGAACTCGCCTAGAGCAAAAAGTAGAAGCCGTCAAGTTCTTCTTGAGGCGAACGCCCCCGTTCGTAGACCATCCCCCCGCCGCCGTTCGCCATTTGGCGCTATCTCACTGTATATTACACATACACACATATGTCGACACGTATCGGCCGCGTCTCACGCCCGTGCGTGCGTGTTTTATTTTTATTCATCGTCGCGTCCTGATTTCACCTCCGGCGAACGAGGTCGGTGTACGAGCACCGGATGGTGGGATAAATAAAGCTTTCGAGGGGCGGGAGAGAGAGGGGGGGGAGGAGAAGAAAGGGCGCGGGGAGGGGAGGAGAAAGAAATCCGGCGAGATGACAAGTAATAATAACGGGGGCGTCGAAGAGCGGGAAAATATCAACTGCTTCCGCGTAACCGTCCGC